ATAAATTTATATATTACATTAAAAATTTCTTTTAATTAAAATAGCATTTTAAATTCACTTATTTAATATTTTATTATTTATGGACCAATGTATATTTAAATTAGATGGGCCAAAACAATGTTTTAAAGCCCATGTATAGAAAACCCTACATGGAAGAGAATGCATTCCAATTCCAGTGACTTTTCACTTGCCGCCGTTGGGCTTTTCTTCATTTCAATTCAATTGCAGTTGTCGGCAGTTCTTCAAGATAAATTCAGATTCGACTGCCTCCCTTGTATTCTACATTTTTGAATTCTCGCTGCCTTGTGTTCTCTCTCACTGGCACATATGTATTTGTATATATAAGAATTAAATACTTCACTTTTTTTTTTTTTTTTTTTGGATTTGAGTGTTGAATGTTATCTGTGAACAATGAGTTTGCAAAGGAGACAGTGGGCTCCGATTTCTATTAGGAATCTGGAGAAGCAGAGTATAACATTATTTCATTCATCCTACTTTAATTTTTTTAGCAAAAATGATGTGGAAATCGGAAAAAACTGTGACCGGATCGCCGGTTTTCGGGTGAACCGGCCGGGTTCCCGGGTTTTGCACCGGTTTCTTTACATCCAATTTTTCTCCCATGACTGGACCAAATTTCGGTCAGATTCTCGATTTTCCGGGTCAAACTAGTCGGTCCGGTCCGGTTTTGAAAACATTGGTTTTAATCATAGCTGTTTTTAGAAGAAAGTAACTCAAATTTATAGCCGAACAAAAGTTTCGCTTGAATAATTTTGTTCTCGTCTTCCTCCTCTGCCCTCTTCTCAAAGTATGAAAGCTTACATAAGCTTTTGTTAGGCTAGTCTTACGGATAGTGACTTATCAATACAATGAATGCTTTTACTATTTTTCGCTTATCCTTATCCCCCTCTCCTGGGGTTGGTATTTTACATCCAATAGTTTCATGCCTTGGAGGCAAAACTTGGAATATATTTTTGTGGATCAACAATGTTTTCAAAATCGAACTGGACCGACTGGTTTGATCGGAAAAACTTGGAAT